TAGTCGGTACCAAATCTACTATATGTTTAATCTAATTGTTTTACATTGAATTGATGCCCAGTGTCGGGAAAATGAGATTGCAGATAAGAAATGGCTCTGCCATGGCGATAGGGTGAGGAGTTCAGTCATTCAGGAGTCGTTGCTCCACATTGAAAGGAGCCAGTTAAGGCAGGTGCCTCCTGGGTAAGGTGTTCAGACCAGGGAGGTCCTATCGGGAGGGGACCCTGGAGTAGACCCAGGACTCAGTGGAGAGAATATAGCTATCGCATGCCTGGGAACGCCTCGACAATACAATATAATATTAAAAACAATGTAAACATCTCCCATAAATGAGGATGCTACGGCAATTCAATGAGAATTTAAAATAACCCCTTAAAAAAACGAATGTATTTCACTGTACATTCATTTTAAGTTATTTGTCTAATCAACATCGTTTGCCTCGTTGAATACGAAAGACAATTATATATTTCATGGCGCTGGAAATACCTCCTCTCGCTCCCTGCTCTCCTCTGTTTGCTTCTTGTTTTTGTGCCTGAGTGAAGTCCATCAACTCATCTGCAGGAGTACATCTATCCCAGTTCACTTTACATTGGATCACTCTTCCCACTGCTGAGTTTAAATACTAAAGCTATGCTAGCTAAGCTATGCTAACATACACCTGTGATAAAGCTCTCGGCACACATTATTCATTCAACAGATCGTTGGAGAATTTTATGCATGCTATACATTTACATAGTCTGCCACTTTCTGAACACTTTACAACAATATCACTTATAGTTGCAGAATAATCCAGGAGGGAAGAGTCCTATTCATCTTACAATAACTCAAATTAAGTGAGCTTTTCAGAACAAACCATTCTTTCAAACATTTCTAATGGCAGACTCTACGGCGAGGTGCTTGATTTTATACACCTGTGGACCTGAAAACTCTGAGAGATGTCCATATGGAATACATAAAAACACACAAACACAGCCATTCCTTCCATTTTATCAAAGTGTTTAAATTGTTTGTGTCACCACACACCTGCAGTCTGCCAATAGCCACTAGGCAGTACTTTCCAGTCTGACCCGCCTCTGTGTCTTCTTCTGGTATAGTCATACCTGAGCACAAGAGAAAGAAAAAGAGCAAGGTGTGAAACATGATGTGTGTTTTTTGTCAAGTACTGACGGATCCTTCTGTGGGAAGTGTTTACTCAGGAGAAGAGATTTTTCAGTGCAACAGATTTGCTCTGAAGGCTTAGAAGTGGTGATGTTAAGCCCATCATGGGAAATGTCTCTGCCAGCTTAAAGTGATGTGCTGGAGATATTGGTTGAGACTTAGTATACTGTGAGTGCAGTCTCATGTTTTACTGAAACATGGTTGAATCATCGCCCGACTCCAATGTGGATCTAACTGGTTTCACCCTTATACTGTGTGATAATGTCAAAGATTGTCTGCAACTAAACTCCCAGTCAGGAAACGGACACCTGATGCTACTGAAGCTCTGAGGGCGCCTGCTCTGAACGTGCTGGTGGAAACAGATAGATTGACATGAACTTCTGTAAACACACAATAATACCCACAAAGACTGTATGCTGTTTCCACAATAACTAACTAGTGACATGAAGGCAATTTCATGTCACTGTGAGGAACCTTGGAGTCATTTTTGACCAGGATATGTCCTTCAACGCACATATTAAACAAATATGTAAGACTGCGTTCTTCCATTTGTGCAACATCTCTAAAATTAGAAATATCCTGTCTCAGAGTGA